TTCTCATCAAATAGTCCAATCCAATCCACATCATCTCCTCACGAGCTCAGGTTAATTACATACCATTCATCTCTTTCATTCATTCATCCAAATTAACTCAACTCAACTTCATTACGCAACAATCCAAACACCATTCCCATCCCCAGCACATGGCGAACCCCCGGTATCAATAATTCAATCCACCACCCCCCCTCCCGCACTAGCCAGCTTTGATCATAAAGACGCTAGAAAGATACTTATTGTAAAAATAAAAATAAAAAGTGTTCGAAACGAGAAGAAGATAAAAGAAAAGAAAAGAAATAACTAGGTATATTTGCCCTATCCATCCATTCATTACTAGATATCCACATCCATATCTATATCAAATCCATATCAAAAAAACCCCCCCGTCCGAGCCCCCGTGCCCAAAACTTTTCTACCACACCATACCACAACGGCAGCAATTTCAATACCTCCTCCACCGTCAAACGCTCAAACGCTCATACTTAAATGAAATTTGATCTTGATCTTGGTCTTAGATGAGAAGATACAGAAAATCTGCCGCTCCTCTGAAAAAAAAAAAAAAAAAAAGAGATAAAAGATAAAGGAATTGAGAAAGAAGAAGAAAATAAAAATCTTATTTCAAAATAAGAAGAGAGACGAAAAAAGCTCAAGTTGAACGCTTGCACCACCATCCACCAACTCAATCAGCCCCATAGCTTTTATGAATATAAACAATCATAAGATAAGCCACTCATACATACATACATGCATGGATGTAATGATAAGATAATCATCCTCTCATTTACTCAGTAATTGCAAGTAAATAAATAAATAAATAAATAAATATATGCCACCACGCGGGTACAGTATGAGGAGTATCCAAACAAAAGTTAAGTAGATAAGGAGAAAGAGAAGAAGAATCCCAATCTCCCCTCCTACACCTAACCCTAACCTAAACCCAAGAGAATAAATAAATAAATAAAATAAATCGAACGAAAAGAACAAAAATCATTAATACCCTCCAATTATCATCCATTCCATCAACGTAAAACAAAATCCTAAGATCCCTCTCATTCTTCAGCCTTGATGCATACCCGGATCTTGTTTAAGCTCCGCATCATGATGAGCGTAATTATTACCATCGAGAAAGTCGAATGCTCCATGATGTTGCTGAGTAGGTAATTGATGAGGATGACCTAAACTTCCCGTTCGGAGTTGACTTCCTATTTGCGGAGTTGTATCGTATTGATGACGATGGGTGGGAAGTCCGTCGAAACTATTGTGTAAGGTGTGAGAAATGGGGTGGGAAGGTAAAAGGGCTTGAGAATTGGGTGGAGGAAGTTGATATGAGGTTGAGGAGAAGGATTGTGGAGAGTTGGATGTGAAGGATTGGGATTGTGGGGATGTGGTGTAGAAACTTGAGGCTGGAGAGGCATTGTTGAAGAATGATGGTGTCCAGTTGACGCTTGCTTGTTGCGAGTTTTGGTATTGACCTGATTGCATAGATGTTGATAAGGAACGTTGAGGTTGATCTTGTAAGCTTGAGTTACTTTGATCATTAAAGCTCACTCGTGGTACGTATCCAGCATTGGTATTGATGTAAGATGCGTTATGCATATGATCATCTTGTTGCGGATTGTATCGGACGTGTCGAGAGGGTCCATAAACGTTATCGTGATCTCTCTGCTGGCTTGAATGTGATGATCCATGTTGTGTTTGCTGAACTTGCATGATTGACGGCGATACAGAGCTATGTGGAGTTAAAATTAATGGTGATGCTTCGATATCTTGAGGTTGCAGATCATCATCTTCAAGTTTCATTCCCTCATCTGGTTCATCGTCCGGAATCTCTGCGCCGTTTCTATCACCATACATTACCTGAATGTATGTGTCACCAGCTAATGAAATGTTAGCTACCTTGTATTGTATGTGCATAAGAATTAATACTGACTGATCTCCCCATTTTTGTATTGCTCTTCCCTTCGGGCAACCTTGAATATTTCTTTCAAGAATGGTCTTTTGGCAGCATTCTCTGGATGGTCCTTATCGTTAAACCAATTCGACATCCCTTCCATTGTAACTTCTTCAAGTTTCTTGACGTTGAGGTTTAACTTTTGAACGGCAGGACATTGCTTCTGATATGGTTCCACGATCATTTTTAAAATATGTACCAATAGACGGATCCTCTCTATTAAGATGTTAACCACAATGAACTCCATCTTGTACAATAATGTTGAACTCACCATGCTTCAAAAGATGATCAGGTTCTTTGTGACGAACCAGAAGCTCTCCACTTGTGACTGGCCACCACGGTGGAGCTTTTTCAGCTCCCCTGGTGTATGGGTAATGAGTCTGCTTTCTAGGCTCGACAAGCTTTACAAAAATTTTTCCCATGAGTTTGCAAGAAGCTTGCTGCATATCCTTGAATCGACAACTGTAGAATTTGCTAACTTCTTCCTCGTCACCTATCCTCAGCTGCATGGTCTTTCTCTCCAAAATTGGGCTCGGTGTGTCTTCACTGGAGTCATAGTATTGATGATGATACCTCTTTGTTTTTTTCGATCCTGTCGAATCATCATCATCAGAATCATCCGAACTTTGTCGAAGTTGACGATGTCGGCGCCTCTTTCCAGAACTTGCATCGTTGCCTGAAAATCTTCTCATACCCGGTCCGCTATCTATGCCAAAGTCACTATAGCCATTCTCTGGATTGTAAGCTGCAGATGTGATGGTTAGTAACGAAGACAGTATGATCACTCCAAGGGTGACTGACATGTTGAATTTGAAAATGAAGCGTCCAGACTGGCTCTCTGTATAGATTTGTGAAAATCATTCTGAAAGTGTGATGAGAAAATTTTTGGCTGAAAGTTCGTCAGAGTCTGGGAAGTATAATTCACTTCCCTTCCATCATCAAGGATGGCAATGACAGCAAACTCTTTCACTGGAATACGGGCACAAGATCTCAAGCATTCCTCAACACTCTAGAGAGATATTAGTTGGGTTCATCCACCACAGAAGAATTGATTATCAGTCAACGTACAAGAGGTAATTCGTGTGGGTGTGGACGGTGCGGCGTAATTGGTGTGAGTCGAGCTTCATTCATCGACGGTTGGCTGCAATCAAATGACCTCTCTCCACCGCTAGGCCATGGTTCACGACCGTAGCAATCTCTTGACTGCATGGTATTCTCGTGCTGAACCATATTGAAGATGTGAAATGATAGGTAGAGTAAGTAAGGGCTCTGAGGCTCTGACTCGGGGCGGTGAGGTTACAAGTCGAGCTATCGTATTGATGATATACTTGACAACCTTCAGGTCCGTGAGCAGGGAGATCAGGTATAAGATGTATCAGGAAGCAAGAGCACGCGAGACTGCTTTAATGACTGCTCGACGATCTACTCTTTACTAAAGTCAGTATTAGTGGATTAAATTACGCATATGCATGATGAAATCCGAGTCTGTAAGGGATTTTCAAGACATGGAGAAAGAAGAAGTAAATTGATGCGGCTTACAAGGTTTATTTTCGTACTATTATCATAAACTCATCGTAACTGAAAGAATTTACAGGAGGGGAAACGAGGTGGCGCTACGTCTGGCTTGAATGTGGTAAGGTAACACAAACCAAACCCAGATTCAAGCCAGATAGGTGGGGAAGCTGAGGTTTATAGTCGTAGATTATCGATCGAGGCGTTAAACATCCAAGCATGAGACCAGGAGTGATTATTTTTTCAATGTTCCGACCGAGTATCCCCTCACCCGAACGGAAGCCGGACGGACCGACTGTCAGAATTTGGCACGGAAGCACTCGTGAGTCGATAACGAAAGTAACGTAAGATGCTAGATGGTGTGTTGTAAGAAATAGAGTCGTTGAAGAGCGTTGAAGATTAGGAATAGTGTCGTTTTTTTCCGGCTGGAACAAGAATACCTTCTTCCAATTAATTGTTTGATTGCCGCTATATCGATGTCAAATCTTACGTCCAAGCGGATTTGAGACACCAGCCTCTAATATTGCTCGGAAGCCGGCAGTGGGTTTTGTTTTGGTTGATATAATCAGGGTCCTTATTCCGCCGTTTGATCTTCGAACCCCCCAGGGACGATTAGACGCGCGGGGTCTGATTTAGAGGAAATATGAGACTAGTTTAGGTATGTGAATCAGTGGAGATACAATCCTTTCTGAAATAAGGATCAGTGAAAAATATATGATCGATCCACAACTGTGTGTGTAAAATGAGCAACTAGGTGATAGATCTAGTATATCTAGATGAAGGAGAGAAAAGTAAAAGAAAAAATGGCAAGAATGAAAAGATCTGCTTTAAGATAAGAAGATTCGAGTAAAAAATCCCGTACGCACTGCGCGGGAAAAGGCTGCATCAAGGAAAAAAAATGGGTGAGTGATGGGGGGTGGTAGTATGACAAGAAAAGCCCCAGTCGCTGATTGTAGAACTCAAGGCTTAAACGAGGGACTGCAATAAATTCGATGCGCTGTTCAAATATGCTATGATTCACGGTTGGTTTACCTCTATAGTACTTCTTTATTTTTTAGGATTTCTGTTGTGTTCCTGTGCATCTGGGCTTGCATTGCTTTGTCCAGTGGTTCGTTGAATAATAAATGTTGTGTTACCATTTTGGGGAGAAAAGCGACCAAAATCGCGACCTGCAATGATTCAAATAATTTTGAATCATCATTGATCCTAGATAATATTAGCCAAATTCCTTGAAGCGGCATGCCATAAAATTTCCAAAGGATTATGATCATCGCGGAGCACCCAGATTGTTGGGTACAGCTTTTTCAAGCCTTGGAACAGATATTGACTCTATGATTGACGGAAATCCATGTTAGCCCATGTTATTCCATGTTATCCCATGTTTTTGTGTAGACACATTAGACACATGGACCACTACAAGAGACCAAAAAGGGATATAAAGCTATAGCACACAACGGTTCCTGGGGTTTCAAAATGATCCTTGAAGGTTGGCTGCCTTGCCGTCGAGTGTCTCAGTCCGGCTCTGATCTAATGAAGTAAGTACTAGGTAATCTAATGAGTTAGTAGACTCATGGGTGAGTAGACTAATGGATTAAGAACAAGGCCGTAATACGATACGATGCGATGTTGTTTGTATAGGCTGTATACCAAGTAATCTTAACCGAAAGTTTTAACAATTACCCACTTTTACCATGATGGATAATAACGTCAAACTAAACAAGAAAATCCTGATAAGGTTAAGTGATATAAGAAGAATACCAATGCAGTATAGTACAGTACAGTACAATATACTGATTCGTATACATAACCTTACTTTGTGCAAATATCTCCCCAGTGCAAATACGGCTCAGGGGATGTAGCTGTTTGTTTGTGTGGTTGTCTTTATGGCTTGCTGCTTTTTATTTCGTGATTTTTTTGTTTTTTATTTCTTGTTTTTGGATGTAACAGGCGCAGAGTATTTTCTGTGACACCAGGAAAATCGATCTCGAGCAATAAATAAATTGATCTAGGTTGAAGTCCAAGGAATAAAATCATTCCAAACGTGGGGAATCGTGGGGGAAATCTTAATCGTGATTAACAACAGCGCTTCGAGAATTCCGACGTAAAAAGTCTAGAACTAGTGGCAAGTCTGGCAGACGGAGAATCCCTTGACTTGGAAGCATGGATTCGAAGAAGTGAACAACTTAAGGAAGGCCGAGGCGCATATGGCGGGAAAGGGCAAACAGCGAGACGGTAATATTACGACTCTTTCCTGCAGTAACAGGCGAAACAAGCTAGAAGTATGCCTGAATGTATGCACTCCAAGACTTTGTGGCTTTTGCCGGTGCGACCATGAAGATTATTAATAACAACATGAATTGATATCGACGATGGAGAAAGGATACCTATCAAGGTAATATTAATATTCTTTCATTTACATACCTGGCAGGTATCTATATATATTTCTATGTATGTATATATACTCGGTAGTTTACATTCTTTACTCGGTAACCTTATATATCTACTCGCTTGAAATGATTATAAATTGAATGGTACCTATCAAAAGATATCACAGATGGATGTTTACTTTGAGTGTCAGTCGATCAGTTAGTAGTCTGTCCGTCTGTCAGTCTATCAGCCCTTTTATTAAACAGAAAGAGTGAAGTTGTAATTGAGCTTGCGCTAAGATTAAGGAAGGTCAATGCTCCAAGGTTATTATTACTACCTAGTCAAATATTTACTTTCACATCAAGCTAGGTAAGTAGATACTTTCCTTTTCTTTAACCCTTGTTCCACCATCTACCAATATGTACGTTGCCTTTCAGTAGGAATAAAATGTCCTCACCATTTTGAAGCTATGCCTTATATTGGTACCTACATATCTGACGGAAACAAAAAACCTCGATGCAGGTCACTCCAGGCCTTTATGCGTACCTGAACCTAGTTAATCATGCAGTTTGCGGGGTCAAATGGCAACCGAAATCAACAAACTAATCAACATCTAACACCTAACACCTACACCTACGCCCACCTATAGTTGTGAGGAGAACTTACAAAAATACCATTGATATCAATTCAAATGGCAATCCGGACTACTTGATGACTTTCTAGTCTTATCTCTCAACATGTGAAGCTCAACTATTATCACAGCCTCAAGATTCTAGATTTTCAGCCTTTTATTGGCATCAATAATTATTATTCATGGGTCACTCCGAAATACGTGATTTTTCCTTTTTCTTCTTCTACCCCTTCCCTTTGATTTCCCTTTCCTTCTTCCTTGCTTTTTCTTCCCGTTTGCACATCGCTCCTGTGTAACTCAAGTTTCAGATCGTACAACATGAGGACGGTAGTTCATAGCCAATGACCAACTCAAGTGCCTAAAACCTGGAGTTAAAAATCTACGGAGATCGTCTGATCTATCCGAATCCTGTTTTGGGCAAGCGTGTATGATGGGTTCCATCATTGGTTCAAATTTCAATGTTCATTTCATCTTTTGCTGGAAGATCATATCTGTCCAAAGGAAAAGTCTCCGTTTAAGAAAGTCGTGCATAGCATGATGCATTCGTCCGACCCTTCATCTCTAAAGAAGCCGACTATTCGGAGAAAAACCATCCCGATTTCTTCGAGTATCGAGCCGGACAAGACTGATGAATATTCGAGGGCAATCTTCATTTGCATGATTACTATGAGAAAGCCTATCTCTATCGGAGAATAACTATTGAGTGAAGCCCCGACCGAACATGCATGTTGGGAAGCGGTGAAAGTTGTAGCATGTTGACGTGCATCTTGAAAACTGCAGGGTGGGAAAAGTGCAGGATGGCGATTGCACGATTGGTTTTATTTAATGCCTCCATCGGATTTTTCATCAATCACTAGGAAAATGGAAAATATGGCGGTCGGAAAGAGTAGTGCTCTTTCTATCCCAACTGGTCACGATAGATTATCAATATACATCTGGCAAAAGACCATCACATGCCAGATTTCTTTAGTGCAAAGATTTCGCGGAGCCTATCAGTGATCCAGCTTCTGCAATCCGCAGCAAAACCGTTGCGTTAGTCTACTAGTTTTTCATTGCATAATAGACCTCGTAGGTTTGATTGTCTTTATTGTGGCGAAAAGAGGTGAGAGGTCTCGACCATACCAGGCTTTCAAATTTTCAATATCTTTTTATAGTAGTTTATTTTCACGGGGTCAAGTATAGTTCCATATATACATGTGATTTACATGCTTTACCAGTCATGGATTTTCGTTAAATTATATATCAAAGTCAATTTATAGATTTTCAATCCTTCAAACTCTCTAGTCGCACTAGTCACACTATCGTATCATTCAACTGGTATTCCATTTTTCGGGGATATTATCTGCATTTATTATCCTGATCAACGGTGCAAGATAATCAAATTTCACTTCTTCTAATAGCTTCTAAATGACCCATCAATGCTTTCATCCGCTGCCGAAATTATTCTTCCTATCTTAGCTTCATCCTGTACTAACAGTCGCGCTGAGTTCTCCAACCACAAGCAGCTGTTCGTGAGAAGTACGTGCTATATTTTTTTTGTAGGCTATTTTCAGATAGCCTTGAGGAGAGCAAAATTCACCAACAATAATGGGATAATTTCCTCCAGCCTATTTCTTGTATTCCCCAAAGTATAATACATTCAACGAACTCAGATTAATGTTTCACACGGATATCTGAAATCGATCATGATGTCATTCCTGTCGACGAGTACTGGACCTGGAGAAGGATTCATATGAAAACTGCGGAGACAAATCCGAAAGCGTGTGTAAGCACCACATCAGTGTCTGTACATGTGTTATCAGTTGTTCCTGTAAGCCCTACCATATTAGTCTATTTTCAATCACATGCATCTATGTGTAAGTCAGATAGCTTTTGCCTGCTTTGTTCTCAGCACATCCCAGTTTTATGCTAACCATATGTCACACAAACTTTTTTGAATCCTTCATGAATCCCTCCTTATCTGAAATCGGTATCCAATGAACACCGCATATAGGAGCACCCATTTTAAAAAAATTCCACCCCACAACATTACCAGATATCACCACCATCAATCTTCAATTGAGCTTCAATCCCATCTTTCTTCCATTCTTTCTGTCGTCTAAATAGTGTGACCACACCAAATCCTCAAAGCCGCTCTTAAACCAATTCAAGCGCGGGACCGGGCGTAGACTCCATCACGCAGCACAACGATCTAGTCCCACAAAGAAGAAAAAGTTCCACGTTTTTTCTACTCGATTTCTATAGAATGTATCTCGTCTGTATCTCCTCACACAACATCGGTTCATCCTCCTTCACACAACAAGTAATGAAACCTCAATTGATCCAAAAAAGAACACACGGCATCCGAGAAAAAATTTCAAAAGCCAATCTTCCACGAAGAGGAAACAAAAAATGCCTCACAATACTTACGATTTCATACACTGAACCACGCAACCAAAAGTTCTCATCCAACCTCGTGGTACACCGACCCAAACTTTCCCCAAAAGCCATTTCATCTTGCTCGTCTTTCTAGCCCATGATCATCCGTTTCATTTCCATTCAGTCCGTCCGTCCATCTGTCCATCCGTCCGTGCTTCGTTCGCATCACATCACATCACATCACATCGCATACTTCCCATATCAACGGGCGCAGCTTATATATGCAAAACACCCAACAACCCAACCCCTCCCATCCCATCATCCCAAACAGTCCTCACACAACCTCACCTCACACCAAACCTACATAAACAAAATGGGCATAACATACAAGCAAGAAACTCAAAATCTTCCGCATCTATCTGCACTCCATTTCCCATTCCCAATCCCAATTCCAATCCCATCCATAGCCTCAAAAAAATCTCAAAATCTCGTTTTCATTTTAGGCTTAAGCTTCTTTTGGACGTGTTTTGTACAACTATATATATAACTATGTATACAATATGTTACCATCATTACGTCTTTTCTGCAAGAATGGGCTGATCTTTTTTTTTTTTTGCTTCCCCTTCTTTTTCTCGAGGATTTTATTTTTGGGAGGGGTGTACGATGTCCGTGGTTGAGATTATCCGTGTAGGTTTTGGTGTATATGTGAGGATTTTAGATTACTTATTTTTATGTTCGTCTTAGTCTTAGTCTTGGTCTTAGTATTAGCATTTTAGAATAATTCATCCTTCTTTATCTTTGGAGAAAGATAATGTTGATGGTACTAATTACCTAGCTTTTTTCTTTCTCCATATATTCTATTTTATGGATTATTGCCGCTATGTATGTATATATATATAATTACCTAGTAATTACTCGAGTATAACCAACATATGATGCATATCGTATCTTAACCCATTATTAAATTCCCTACGCACAAAACTTTACTCTATTAGTAAGTGTTACTATCTACCATCATCTAATGTCCTCATGTTATCATGTAAACGGTATCTACGACACGCGTAGGAGGTTGGAACATGGTCTGAAATGTTGATATCTGGATTTATATCTATCTGTATATTTGTAAGTTTATACTTTTAGACCATATATTATTTTCAGCCACACGGATATCTAATCTGATCACCATTAATCTGATCATTCTGATCAGTCTGTTCATTCAAGTTATTCCCTACGAAACATCTCTCCACCATTTTATGCCATCCCATCCCATCCCGCAAATTCCTCCAATAACATCACCAACATCATGCGCATCATACTCTTTCCCTCTTGCCGATCATTAATTCAGATCTACAGCTCGGTAAGTAAATCGCAAATCCCTCCCCTCCACCTCAATACCCAATATCCAAACTCCATAGCTCATCTCATCACCCTATATAACTAGCCAATAAATTCATTCTCCCGTCCCACTCCTCCATCTTCGTATATAAATATTTGAATTTTGGGAATTTTTATTTAAGATTTTTCTCTATGACAGTCTTATTTATCTATTATAAAAACAAAACAAATCAAAAAAGGACATGAAAATCCCGACCGAAAGCCTCCAATCTTTTCCCCAATCAACCTAACTGACTAACCTCAAACACTATCCCCAATCCCTCCAACCC